GCCTTGGGGTGGGTGTTTGCATCAGTATTTCCAGCAAAGCTCCAAACCAAGTCTTTTCCTGAGCCCTGCATGTCCTCAGCACTCAACAGGCCAAGAGTGCAGGTGGCCTGTTCTCTCCCTGCCCACCACCTGACTTCTCTCCTGGCTAATTTCTCCACCAGTCACCCATGCAGAGGGCTAGGACGATGCAGCTCCCTCCTTTTTATTCCCAGCAGCTGAGAGGTCGTGAGGTCTCAGTTCTCCCTCCTCCAGGCCAGACCTGTCCCTCTGCAGGGCTGGATAGCAGGATCCCTTTGCCCCATTCTAGCCACATTGTCCATTCCGGCCCTGTTGCTATTGCATCCTCCACATGACCTCTTAAATCTCGAGGCCCTAAACATGTGTTGTGTGAAAATCCTCTCCGTGGTCTCTCGGCTCTGCAGGCTCCTATGTCCCTGCCTGCAGGCCTCATCAGTGTGGCGCTGCAGCTCTGTGCGCCATCCCACCTGCATCCCTGAGGGTACCCCAGCTGCCACCCTTCAGGGCCATCCCTTGGCCTGTATCCTCCTGCCCAAGCACCTGGAGGCTCCCAGGTCCCCTGTAAGGCTTAGCTCCTCCTCTGTGAAAACCTCCCTGGCCGTTTCCAGTTCCCCCAGCATGCACAGCTCCCCCTGCACACAAGGGTAGGGGGTCTGGTCACCCTCTGGTGGCCCCTTGCTGCCATCGCCGCGGAGTGTCTCCCCACTGGGCTCTCACTTCCTGGAGGGCAGAGCCTGCCTCTTCACATTCCAAATGCCCAGCACAAAGGAGACTGAGAAGCAGTGATGGGAAAGGAGTGGGCCCAGGAGAAGAGGTGGGGGAGGAAAGAATTTGAGGCCAAGCAGCAAGAATTGTGACCTCACCATTCAGCCGTCTGATTTGCAAAAGGGCTAGGAAGACTGAGCCTACCTTTGCTCCCACATCTCCCCCACATCCGTGATCCTATGGCCTATTTTCCAGTTCACCTACATAGAGAAGAAAACTACCCTGACCAGCACGCAGAATCCAGATCACTAAGACATGAACCCACAAATGATAAACAGGAGCGGGTGCAAGACTAAATTCCGTAGGAGAGCCTTCCAAAAAGGTTTGCACACAATGACTACAATCAGAGAGGAAGAAAAGACTCTCTAAACTCCGGGGTCATTACTCTAGAGAGAGAATCACAGCCAGGGGTACAAAACTGTATTCTGTGAAGTGTTCTGCACGCTCCTGGCTTCTGAACACAGTCCTCCGCTTGAACAACTGGGGTAGTGGTTTCCATTCATGGCCCCTCTCATTAAATCTCCTTCAGCCCAGGTTGTTTGCTTCCCCTTTTGCCTCCCCAGCAGTTTGTCTCCTGTGCCGCAGTCCATGCTGCCCCTGTGTCCAGGAGGACAGTGCACACACGCTGGCTGGGACCTACACCAGGCCTTCACCCAGTGGAGGGGGGCAGGCAGGGGTCTGCTTCCTCCAGGCCACCAGGAGCTATCTAACTTTGAGCAGTGCTTTTTACTGCAGTGAGCCTGTTTCCTCTTCTGTAAGAACATGGGGTTGAACTGCATGCTCCCCAAGGTCTTTTAAGCAATAAAATCCTGATTCCGTTAGTTGAGGCGGGAGGAGGACCCCCCCCGTGTCCCCTTGGGCGTAAGTGATAAGAAGTCGTTCCCGCACCCTCCACCTTGGTGTTTTGGTCTTAAGGGATTAGGAACTGCAAGGACCACTGGGGAAGGAGGTACTGAGGTTCAGGGGAGACGCTAGTATCCCCCAGCTCTGCCCACAGCACCACCTGCTGTGTGCCTACTCGATGCCCGTCTAGACTCTAAGGCAAGCTTGTCCAACCCACAGCTTGTGGGCTACGTGGGGCCCAGGATAGCTTTTAATGCAGTCCAACACAAATTTGTAAACTTTCTTAAAAGATGATGAGATTTTTGGTGATGTTTTCAAGCTCATCAGCTATCGCTAGTGTTAGTGTATTTTATGTGTGGCTCAAGACAGTTCTTCTGGTGTGGCCCAGGGAAGTCAAAAGATTCGACACCCCTGCTCTAAGGAATGTCACAGGACCACTGTGATGACAAGGGTCTGGGGTTAGAAGAGGGATGGGCAGAGCAGTGGAACAGCAAGGAGAGATCAGAAAAAAAGAAAAAGAAAACAAACGAGGATCTGAACATATAATACAGGTGTCACTGCAATGACACCTGAGGCAGCACAGTGTGGGCTGGCCCCGTGTTGTTGTGGCACACACATCACCTCACAGGAGATGCAGCCCTGGGAGGTGGGAGGTGTCTCATCCGGTTAGCATATGAGGAAACTGAAGCCAAGAGTAGGACACAGTGATGCTGACAGTGAGCTGGAGTGCAGGGCCGGACACCACGGTCACCACCCGGCCCCTGGAGACACTATTACAGACCAAACGGGAAAGCAAAACCGTCCCAACACCAAAGACAAAGGCAGACTTCAGAGAGCCTGAATCCTGGGTGTGAGCATTAAAACCAGGAGTTGAGACAGTGAAGCTCAGGGACCCAGGAATGAGGAAGAACTTTCTCTTTTTAACTGTGGTAAGACCTATATAACATAATATTGATCACTTTAACCACTTGTAAGTGAACAGTTCAGTGACATGAATACATTCACAATGTTGTCCTCACCAGTATTACACCCAAAACCTTTTTATCATCCCAAATGGAAACAGTGACTTCCCGTTCTCCCTCTTCCAGCTCCTGTTCACCACGATTCTGTTTTCTGTCTCTCTGAATCTGACTATTCTGGGTAGCTCTTATAGCGGGATCATACAGTAGTTGTCCTCTTGTGTCTGGCTTATTTCACTTAGTATAATGTCCTGAAGTTTCATTCATATTGTGTGTTAGAATTTTACCCTTTTTTGAGCTGAATAATATCCCATTGTGTGTGTGTGTGTGTGTGTGTGTATGTGTGTGTGTTTACTACAGCATCACATTTTGTTCATCTGTTGACGGACACTTGGGTTGATTCCTCCTTTGTCTGTTGTAAATAATGCTGCCACGAACATGGGTAGATGAACCTGTTCAAATCCATGCTTTCAGTTTTTTTGGATGTGTATCCTCTGAGCAGAATTGCTGGGTCACACGGTAATTCTGCTTCTTTGTGAGGAACTACCACACTATTTTCCACAGTGACTGTGCCATTTTACACTGTCATCAGCAATGCACGATGGTTCAAGTTCTCCACATTCTCCCAGTTTGTTATTTTCTATTTTCTTCTTATTATTGTAGCATTCTTGGTGAAAAATTTCTCTTTTTTTTTTGAGACGGAGTCTTGCTCTGTCACCTAGGCTGGAGTGCAGTGGCGCGATCTCAGCTCACTGCAAGCTCCGCCTCCCGGGTTCACGCCATTCTCTTGCCTCAGCCTCCCTAGTAGCTGGGACTACAGGCGCCCGCCACCTCGCCCGGCTAATTTTTTTTTTGTATTTTTAGTAGAGACGGGGTTTCACCATGTTAACCAGGATGGTCTTGATCTCCTGACCTGGCGGTCCACCCGTTTTGGCCTCCCAAAGTGCTGGGATTACAGGTGTGAGCCACTGCGCCCGGCCAAGAATTTCTTAAATAAAACTTCAGCAGTGTGTGTATCACAAGACCTAAATATGGATAAATTTAAATACCTGGCCCATGATACAACACTTACCATATTTGTCCCAATAGAAATGTTTGAAGAAATTTTCTCCCGTCACTCATGGGGCTGTGTGAGGTCCCGGATACTGCCCTGGGTATAGCAGCTTGCTCAGGGGAATACTAAAGCTGTTCTTACTCAAGTGGTGCTCTTTGTTTGTTTGTTCATTTGTTTTTGCACCAAAACTAATTACATCTGTATTCCCAGATGGCCAGACTTGAGATAGTGTGAGCACTAAGAAGAATATGTAACTGTTGTAACACACTAAATTCAACAGAAAGTACATGGTCCATGGTTATCTTCGTGGAGAGGGAGAGAAGGAATCTTCCTCTTGATTTCCAGTTCCATCAGAAATGTGTGAACACGGCTGTTCTGTAGCCCTGAATGATTCAGGCAGGGATCACATATGTATGCTAACACCATTGGATGAAGGATTGCTAGGGAACCCACCGATCACTCCATGCCAGGTATCAGCCCACAGATGCTTGTTACTTACAAAGGGACATGAAGACCTTTTCCATGGAGAGATGGTGACCTGCCACCTCAACCACCCATCACGTTTAGCATCACACAGAGAGGGCGAGCCCAGCAGGCACCCCTGATCTGAGGAGGCTAAAGTACAGGCATCACCTGGTGACCAAAAATGTTTATCCCCAATCTTATCACGCCTCCAGTTTACAAGAAATACAAGCGTTGTAGAAAGCAATTGAGCAACGATCAGACGAACCCAGAATGTGGAACATTCTACAGACAAAAACTGACCTGGACTTCCCAAAAAGTCCATGAAAAAATACAGGGCAAGGGAATAAGTGTGGGACCATTGTCTTCTAGGAGCAAAACAAAGACATTTAACAACCAGTATAATTGAATTGGATACCTAGGTCAGGAAAACGCCGTGGAGGAGAGGACTGAATATAGATTGGATGTTAGATGTGTCATGGAGTGATTGCTGGTTTTCCTATGTGTGACAGTAGGTGTTAGAGTTATGCTAAGAGACTGTCCCTATTCTTAGGAGACACCTGCACGTGCACCTCAGAGTAACATGTCGTGCTGCCTACAGTTTATTTTTAATTTTTTGGAGAGCTAGAGATGCGTTTTATATATATATGTGTGTGTGTGTGTATGTGTGTATATATATGTATATCTGTATATATATAAATAAAATATAGTTTGCTAGAAAGCAAATATATTAAAATGTAAGCAGTTGTTAAATCTAGGATTATTGTACAACTTATTCAAGTTTTGTATATGTTTGAAATGTTTAAGTTGGCAGGAATTATATCTAATATTTCATGTTCAGTGTTCCTCAGAACTCTTATTTCCTGCCTCATGAAAGCCTTTATCTTTCTACTTTGCAGTTCGGGACCGAGTGAGATCGAAGATGGAGAGAGACATCTTGGCAGAAGTGAATCACCCCTTCATTGTGAAGCTCCATTACGGTAAGTAGAGTCAAAATGACACTTTAGAGAGGACCCAGGGCAACCTTCTCCAGATCAAAGAAAACTGAAAAAGAAATAACAGATCAGAAAGAAGAAAATCTTTCCCATACCATAGAGTCCTGCCCTGCCTGGGGATGAAGGTGCCTTCTATCCTGATTGCTTAGTCTCTTCTGTATTTATTTTCTTTGAAAGAGCAAGAAGCCCTGTTTTCATCTCAAAGATCTAATTTTAGATGGGGTATCCATTATTAAATTGTTACCATACCATTGATAATTTAGAAGATCTCAACCTAGATTGGGGTGAATCTATGACTTATTTTTGTGTTGTTTTAGAATAAAAAGCTCTATGACCCAATAATTTCTTTAAACCAGAAATGGTAACACCTTCTTCATTTCAAATGAATATCATGTTTAAAGACAGTAGCTCATTGACCCCTCAAAACTTCCATTCAAGGTAGCTTATTATTTTCATGTTTCGAGGCTCAAATAATTAACCAAAGGCCACACAGCTGCTTTGCCACACAACTTCTCTTCCTTTGCTGTCTGCCTTTTTATCCCAATAGAGAAGCAGTAAGTGAAATCTTCAAATTAAAAAAAGATGGGATGAGATGGTGGCTGCAGACTCATGGCTTACTGCATTAAACTTTCCCACCTAATAATCCAGACCAAACTAAGCACAGAAGGGAACAACAATAAAACCAGTAGTTTGTTCTTGGTTGCAAAGGACAAGGTGGTGTGTCGGGGAGGTGTTAAGTGAGATTTGCGTGAATCTGAGGACAGGATGAAGGAGGCCTGCAGAAGCTGGGCATACCCTGCTGTTCCTTCTGGGCCGTGGACAGTGCAGTTGCAAACCTCTACCTCCTGGCAGAGGAGGCCGCAGAGGCTGCCTTTGCAAAACTGCCCTCTCCGCTGCCGCCCAGCGGCTGGTGTCAAGTCCCATCCCACAGGTCATTTACGTTACTTGCTAGCGTGTTTTCTGAAGAAATTTAAGAACTGGGCGTCCTACAAAGAGCTTTAAACAGACCTCCACATCACCTCGGTGGTGATGTGATGTGTCTCCACCTGCCTGTCAAGCCCAGGATGAAGCATTTAATGCGCACTCAGTTTACACAGTTCTGGCAGAGGGCTTTCTAGCTAGAGGCTATGTTTCCAAAACCCCCACATTTATGATGTTTCTCGCATTTACTTTTAGAAAATAAAACGTTTTCTAGTATGCAGGGATATTGGGATCCCTTCCAGCCACACCTCCTATGTAGATAAAATAGACACCACGCGGTGCCTCACCAGTGCTGCCGCAGCAGCCATCGTCACAGCAGCGATGGTGACGGGCTTCTCTAGACCCTCCCGTGCTCATGCGCCCTCTCAACAGAGGCAGGTCCTTGCTGAGGGTGGGCAGGAGCTGTGTAGCCTGCCTGTGGCCTGAAACAGAAAGTCTGCAGTTGCAGCTCACAGTGACCAGACCTCGGACGTGAGCCCCATTGTCTTGATGTATAAATAACTGGGCCGACCCGTCACCAGAACTGCCGAGAGAGGAAGGCAGGGGGTTCCCTGGTACCAGAGTGGAGTTCTGTAGGAAGAAGGCACTTCCATAGGGCAGAAAGGACACGTCCTCCGAACCAGAGCCACCTTGAGGCTGCTCACTAATGCATTACGACGAAAGCCAGCAACGACAACAGCTTGAATATGCACATCTTTCTCCCCGTGTATCTTTCAATTCCTTTGCAATTGAAAAAGGGAAGGAGGGGAGAAAAAAGAAAGATGAAAAAAATCTCAAGACCCCCTAAAACAGTGAGAGAGGGGCAGCCCTCACAGTGTCAGACCCCCTCTGCTGGATGCGGGGTCCTACCATTTCTCAAGTGGCTCAGCCTCCCGGAGTAAGCGGCACCTTGAGCAGGGAGAAGCCAGAGCCACAGGACATTCGACAACCTGCCAAAATGCGGGTCTCTCTCCCCCACAGCCTTTCAGACAGAAGGAAAGCTCTACCTGATCCTGGACTTCCTGCGGGGAGGGGACCTCTTCACCCGGCTCTCCAAAGAGGTGAGCGGCCACCACGTTACACAAGAGGGCGGGCAGGAGCTTCCGTCTAGGACTAGAGGGAAGGAGGGGTGGAGAGCACTGAGAGGAGATGAGCACGTGCGAGAGTGCGTGTGTGTGTGGGGTGCATGTGTGTATGAGAGTGCATGTGTGTGGGGGGGTGCATGTGTGAGTGCGTGCAAGAGGGCATGTGTGGGAGGGATGTACATATGTGTGTGCAAGTGTGCATGTGTGGTGTGGGGATGTGTGGGTGAGACTGTGCATGTGTGGGGTTTGCATGGGGTGTGAGCGCATGTGCATGATGTGTGGGGTGTATGTGTTTGCGTGTGTGTGGGGGTGTGTTCATGGTGTGTGGGGTTGTGTGTGCATGGTGTGTGGGAATGTGAGTGTGTGTGCATGTGTGGGGTGTGCATGTGTCATGTGGGATAAGTGTGTGGTATGTGTGTTGTGTGTATACGTCAGGTGTGTGATTTGTGGTGTATGTGATGTGTGCTGTGTGTGGTGTGTGTACTGTGTGTATATGTGGGGGGTGTGTTTGGCATGCTGTGTACATGTGTGGAGTTGGTGTGTGTGGTATGCTATGTGTGGGGTGTGTGGTATGCTGTGTGCATGTGTGTGTATGTGGGGTTTGTATGTGTGTGGGTGTGTGTGTGCTATATGTGGTATGTGCTTTGTGTGATGGGGCGTGTGTGTGTGTTTGACATCCTGTGTGCCTGTGTGTAGGGTGTGTGTATGTATGAGCTGTGTGTGTGAGCTGTATGTGGTGTGTGCTATGTGTGATGTGGGGTGTATGTGTGTGTTGGGCATGCTGTGTGCATGTGTAGGGTTGTGTGTATGTGTGTTGGTGTGTGTGTGAGCTGTGTGTGGTGTGTGCTATGTGTGATGTGGGGTGTGTGTGTGTTGGGCATGCTGTGTGCATGTGTAGGGTGTGTGTATGTGCGTATGTGTGTTGGTGTGTGTGTATGCTGTGTGTGGTATGTGTGGTGTGTACTATGTGTGATGTGGGGGGGTGTGTGTGTGTGTGTGTGTGTTTAGTGGTGCTGTGTGCATTGCTGGCTGGTTCTAAGGAAGCTGCACAAGTGGCCCTAGCAATCGTCTCAGGTGACGCCAGCAGCGCCCCTGCAGCTCCAGTACCATAAGTCACGCTGTTGACCTCTCGGCTAGAGCAGATGGAAGGCGCAGGTCAGTGGATAGGAGCGGCTGGGAAAGACTCACAGGGTCTGACTTTCCGTCCTGGGAAGAGGGAGGTATTGCTAAGCCGCCGCACATTGGCGCTGTTTACTGCACGCCCCAGGGCTTCTCCTTGACCTCCAGTGCCTTAGGTGGGAACTCTCCAGGATGCAACTTCACCGCATCCCGAGAGCCCCGTGGCCCTGATTGACATGAAAAGCACCCCACTTCGTGGTATGGCAAAAGGCATATTCTGCCCATGGCAGTGCCAGTGCCAGGCTTTCCATTCTGACGATCCTGCTTGTTCGTCTCTTACACAAAGGAGGAGTGGCCAAGGTGCTTTCACAGCAACGGTGGCCTTCACACCCCCCACTCCCTTTTCCCCACCTTCCCCTTTTCAGCAGGAGACCCCTCTGTCTTGCACAAAGCCCCAGAAGAACAGTAAACCAAGGCAGAGCTGCTCATGAGGCGGGCCCAGAGGGTCCCAGAGACCATGGCTGCCCTGTCCCTCTGCGTCTATCAGTCCCTCGGGCAGTGGTGCACGTATCTGTGGGACTCCGTGCATAGAGGAAAATCACTGGGCCGGGAGAACCTGATCCAAGCTCTACACGAAGCCCTTTGGCCCCTTCCTGTGCCACCTGCTGTGCGCCCATTTCCAAAGATGCTGGAGCCTGGCATCTGCCCACTCCTCGTGTGGTATCATCTGTTGGTTTGTCCGCTCCCCTCTCATCCACAGGGAGTCAGTCCATTTGGGGTCTGGTTTTGTCCAGCAACTGCTATGACACGCCTGTGGTTGGGCGCCCTGACCAAAAAGACAACAGTAATCAGCGAAAAGCCCAGCAACTCTCACGTGGGAATGTGTCTCCCCTGAGGGCCTTTATTTCAGAGTAGGCGGAAAGTTGTCCCGGGCGGGCACCACAGATTCGTGGAGTCGGTGGGAACCTGCGGAAT